TGCAATAACTAATTCACTGTGAAACGTAGTGCAATAATTTTTCATACTATATATCACCCACTGAATATATTCGTGTATATATATTTATTGTTTGTACTTTGCTGCTTTTTGTTGCCATGCTGTCTTAACTGCCTCTGTAAAGTGAAATGTCTGCATGTTGTATGTATGTTGTCTTGAGTGCACTTGTCCCTTATGTCCGCACATTGAGCCTTGGAGAAATGCAATTTCGTTCTGCCTGCATCCGTCTTTGTACTGTTGTATGGTGTGAATGACAATAAAGTTTCACTTCACTTCACTTAATTTGTACAGGAATGATTCTGTCCCAAGCTTTTTGATCCATATAAGTGGTTGTAACTTATAGTAACTGTGATCACTATAAGCGGTTTCTACCGTACTACTAATAATGAACAATAAGGATATGCCCTTTTCCAAGTATAATCCACCTATATCGACACATATCACCAGTATCGGATGACATTGATACAAACAGCTTGGATTAGTCACACTTTTGGCCCTGCTTATGTCAGCGTGGGTATGACTCGCATAATTTAAAACAAATAAATTTAATAATAAATCGATTTGGCTTTGTATAGTGATTCTTTGGTGCGGTGATTCATGCATCGTCACATTAACTCTGAAATCGATTTTTTATTCATTTATATGTGTTCAGATTTGAGGTGGAGAAACACTGCAGTTCCTCTACAGGTGGCGCACTCAAAAGTATTCCCACATTGATTAGCAGCACAGCATCCCATGTAGTAGGGTAGGAGCCAATTATTTTGTAATTTTGCTTAGCAATAACGAGAATGGCAGACAACATAGCAGAGATTTGTGCTGTCCCTTCACAGTTTAAATCCAATGTATTTCAAAATTTAAACGGGAGGAGCTTTTTTTGCAAGGTTTTAAGATGCTAAAAAAATAAAATAAAATAAAATAAATTATAGTATTGAATTAGGATATTCATAGAATTTCAATACTTACAGAATCACAATAGATATGGTGATGATATCGTATCAGGAGGTCACTGATACACTAGGGTGTTTACAGATAGCCGACCATACACAGTAGTAAAGAACACAGGATTCAGTTCATTATGACTGCTATGATGCAGTTTAATTTTGAATTTAATTTATTTTATATATTTATTTTTACAATGTACAATTAAGCATCTTTTATGTTTTGTTATTCAAAAGACCTCAACATTGCCTTTTGTTTGATTTACAACTGTTCCTAATTGTCTTTGTAGTTTTAAGAATAAACAATATCATAATTGTTTTCCCTGTTGTAACAAAATTGCACCAAACCACGAACCCAAAACCAAACTGTGTACCAAACCATGATTTTTGTGTACTGATATACATCCATAATACATATGGGCGATAGGATCATAACTGCAGAGCATACAAACCAAATAGTGGAAACCTATGACCACATTAAATGGAACAGAATATAAAATAATAAAAGCAAACCAGAGAACATATTTATCATCAAAAGAAACTCAACAGGCAAATAAGTCCTGCGTTAAAAAGGAGCCCTAGTTTCTAAAGTGAAAAGATGAAAAAATTACAGCAAAAACAAAAAGAACGTTGTGTCTGCAGTTTAGCCTCCTGGCTCATGTAATGTAGCAGCCTGCCACATATAATGTTGCCAGCACAAAGATGAACTGAATGAGATCAGACAAAAGTACTACCAAACTATGGCTACTTAGCAAGCTACACTACAGAAAGAAACCTGAGTAAATGCATTGTCATCTTACCTCCATCTGGCTCTCTCTGTCTGCGCTGTGATGTAGTATTGGATGTGCTTAATCCAGAGCCCGCTGGTGCCCGGCCCAACTCGGATGGACCACTGGAGGTCTGCGCAAGGACATAAAGCAAGTTAGTGGGAGCGGCTGCAGCAGTAGACATGGGGGAGCAGCAGGGTCTTCATATCAGAGGTCTCACTGTGCGGCAGCAAAGGGCCACGCAGTTCCATAAGAAATATTGGAGGAAGAAAGGCTGGGAGGGGACACCATAGCACTAAAGTGCCAGACTGAACACAATACTGAGCATAGGAATTAACATGGACCCCTAAAGGAAAGCAATTGTTCTTTTAGTTATTCTGAAGTGAACTTCATAAACAGGATGTTAACTGTTTAAAATACATAATCATTTGATCACTAACAAAACTTTGTAAATATGCATAGGTTATACATCACTTGGCACGTTTAAACCTCTTGCCATATCACGACACAAAGCTTATGTTAAATACATGCCTTTACATTCATAAAAAAAAACCGTAAAATGCTATTCATCGTGAAGCCAAACTACATAAAGATTCAGTGACACCAAACCTAAAACTGTGGATGTAAGGCCAAGAGTGGTGCAATTTTTGGGGGCTAGAGTGGGTCAGGGGTTGGGTGTGGTGTGGTTTGAAGGCCAGCCTGTGATTGGAAGAGAAACTGCGACTCCCCCGGAAGAATAAGTGGAACAGAGAAGGTAACTCTGAGCGACAAACAGAGACATTGACTCTGTCCCCCACCAACCAGGCTACTCTGGCGGCTTGTCCAAAACCGCAAGGGTAGTCCAAGTGTGAGGAAGTACAGAGACGGTGCCACTCTGTACAGGTATACTGATGGAGACAGCGGTCCTCTCTTTCACGGCAAACAATTAATCAGCATGATGCCTAAATGGAGACATTGCTTCAGGGTCAGCTTAATGTGCAAAGCCCAATTAGAAATAAATGATGATGATGATAATAATAATAATAATAATAATAATAATAATAATAATAAGCATTCTCCAATTCCAATATAAACATTGCTTGCTAAAAAAATTAGATACAACAGGCTAAATTAAAATGTTATTATGCGGTAAAACCTTTAGAATAAGATATGTGTGGTTGATTTAAGTTTGTTTGCCGAGAAAAAGGATTGGCGGGCCATTTCTCCGCAGCACCATGCTGGAGTTTTACCTGACCAGGATCTTCACTCGTAGGCTCATTAGAATCCTTGTCGACAGAAAGATTCTTTGCAGCGTCTGCGTTTCAAATAAGACACAGTAACACAGAAACACCCCTCCAGATAATTACTCTTCAGACACAGTACATTCACTCTGGACGCATCCCTCAATACACTGAACTTCCTAGCAGCTTCTAGCAAATACCAATGAGACAGGACACTGCACAAATTCAGTTTGAATTGAAAGATACGAAAGAGGCCTGCAGCCACAAAGCAATATATTAACCAGGACACTTTTTAGGAGCCTATAGAGATTTAAGCAGAGCCCAAAACTTCTATTTTTATAATCTTAGTTTAAATACGATGTTCAGCTATTTGGATAGGAACTGTAAATACCACTAACGACAAGATTCCTTGCACCTAATTCCCAGTTTATAATTACTCACATTAGAAATTTCCTTGCAGAAAGATATAGTTTAATTGAAAACTAAGTAGCCACCACTAGAATCCACACAAAATGCAAAAAGAAATATAAAAAATAAAAATAGCAAACTGACCAAATTTACAACATTCAAAATTCTATTAACTGGAATAAACAACTGAAGGACAGTGTAACCCCTGATTTACACTGGATGCGTATGCGCTGCGTTCCCATTCCGTCCGAGGCCGTCCGCCAATTCACACTGGATGCGTTTGTGGTCTGTATCTGATCCGGCGCGCAGCTGGTTTGCGAGATCACATGACCACGGGAGAATAGCATTTAACATAACATGTATCTATGTTTCTATGGATAAAATAATGTGTCACTCCCATATAGGTTACTGAACACTTTATTAGGAGTTTACAAGTACTTCACAGTACAGGTTACTTTCATTAAAAATCAAGTATATACATAGTTAATTGCAAGATTCAACTTATCGTCAAATCCCAAAACTTCTGAAGTTTCACTCCACACCTACTCCCTTCTACTATTATCCTTGTAAAAAGGATGTCTGGGGTCGTACACAATTCCGTGTTTCTCCACCACCAAAATAAATTTTTCCTCGTCCATGATGTGACGGAGAATTGGCGCATGCGCTCTGTGTTGCGTTCTTGATCCGTATCTGTCAAAAATAGACTTGATGCACATCTCGACGGACTGCCGGATGCGTGACGGAACAGAGACGTAGCGGAGACGCAACGCAGCGGATCTGGTGTAAACTGATGCATTGACTTTATTGGCGGCGATTGCCTGCGGCTGCCGTGTCGGAAACGCACCGCAGCGGATACGCATCCAGATTAAATCAGGGGTAAGAGCTCTGTGTAGTGAAACTTTTTAGGGCAACTTTTTATAAGCTATTCCAAGTGAATGCATGCTGTAACTTCCTGCTGCCCACCAACTTCAACCATATAACTGGATAATACAGGAAACGCATTTACCCAACATGAAATTTTTGTTAACTAACTTGTTGATTGCACATATTCCCTTTTAAGTTAAAAGGCACTGCAACAGCAGGATTTCCAAAAGTTTTACTATTATTAAAAAGACACCTGCCAAATTACCTAAAAACTAAAAAGTAATTTAGCAATTGGTACATTACTCATAGCTACCTACCCAGCTAAGATATAAAATGTATTAAATGCGTTATTAAAAGAGATGATTGAAATATTTACCCTCTGGTGCTCAGGCAACAGAAGCATCATTGCATTTTACGTGCCATCACTAGTTAACATTACACTTACCTATATCTACCTATATTACCTATATCTCAACAGTGGCTGTTCTTCACTCAAAATGATTCTCACACCAGGACTGGGTTAACTTAAGCTAGAAGTAATGATTGTCCAAGAGGAATGCTCTTTACCTAAATTCTGGACAATCAAGACTTCTATCTTAAAGTTAACCTACAGCTGGTAGTAAATCGATTTATCGATTAATTTGAATTTTTGGTTCCGGGCGATGTGTAAAATGAATGTTGTGATTTACTTTAAACTAGCAAATTAACATGGAGATTGCAAAGTTCCCAAATTTTTTAATACGAAAAAGATTTTTTTTCCCTCCACTTCCATGAATGACAGCATGCTGGACCGCTCTGTCAATCCCCCACACCCCCTCAGACACCAACAAACAAAATCAAGAAGGCAGCACGTCAGTAAGAGAGGAGCTCATCCCGAAAACTGCCAGCGACTCCTCTGTGGTTTGGAAGGGGTTTGATTATCCGAAGTCCAACATAGAACAAACCACTGCCTGTTGTAATGTTTATCAGAAATCTGTGGCTACTAAAGGCAACAGCACATCAAACTTATTTCAGCATTTCAGACAGAGGCATGCAGCTTAGTGGCTGGAGTTGTGTAGCTCCACAAACTTGCTATGTATATATTAAAAAGGCTTATCTAAAAGATGCCTTTGGTTAAAAAAAAAAAAATCATAAATTGGGTAAAGGCTGAAAAGAAATCATAGACTTTATTTTTAGGCCATATCACCCAGCCCTAAGTTAACCCAGCTAAAATCATGCTTCGCAGAATTACCCCTGGGGTAATATGATTCAGTGAAGAGGCTGTTCCCAAGGTATGTCATGTACTTTTCTTCCGCAAAAATTTCACCAAATTTGATTGATTTATTTATTTATTTTTACCGGTTTCACGAAATTTATGGCAAAATCACTTATCTGCCCAAAAAGCAATGTGTTGCTAGCTACTTGAAAAAAGTTGAGTTTATAGACCACATTTGAACAAAAACGTGTTTTTCTTTTTTGCCATTATTTCATCTTCAATAGTCAGAATTATTTAGAATGTCACGGAAACAAGATAAAATTCTTCTTCAGCATGTTTTTTTGCTGGAAGGCCAGGATTGGTTGTTACCTTACCTGCAGCTTTATGATTGGTTACAATATGAATTAATTTGATTGGTGGCTATGCGAGCAAATATTTATCTGCAAAGCGCTAGGCAAATTAGTGCCAAAATTATTTATATGCGCAAGTGTGAATTTGCACTCGCAGGTTGGTATTTGCAAGAGGACTTGGATTTGCAATACAGGTTTTGTACTTGAAAATCATTATATCTTTGTAAAAAATATTTTTATTAAGATGTTTGGTTTCGCATTTACAAAAAATATTGACTTGCATTTGCAAAATATCTGTTTTTGCGAATGAAAATTGTGTTCAGTGCGAGCAAATTTCTTTTTACGGGTGCAAATTGGAAAGTACACATACAAGTACATATGGCACTATTCTGACTCCAGAAATGTGCTTGTAATCCAAAGCACTCATATCAAAGCAAATTTTCACATAAGAAATAATGGAAACTCAGATGATTCGTTCCACAACCCATAAATATTCATATAAAATTATTAATACAAAATATAAAAGTAAAAATAGATAAAAACAAATTAACCTGCACTTTACCTTTGAAAAGAATCGTGGCTGGTGTGAGGGACATAAGTGAACAGGGAGGAGAAGGGTTATTTTGTGGGATGACTTTTAGTATAACTAACAGAATCACTGCTATCTGTTGGCTTACTGGAATCTTTTTCTTTTTGTGCCATTTTTACAAGAAACCTATCCAATGACAGTTGCTTTTGCCACATTTTGAAGATTTCATGGAAATGTGACATTGCATCGCTCACACTGCTACAGCTTTATTTGGGTGGTGTTGGCAGACAAAGCATATACGTACTACTCGTATTGCAAGACCTCGCTCGTATATCAAGTTAAAACTTATTTTAAATTTTTGTCCGTCTTGCAAAACACTCACAGACCAAGTTACTTGCAATCCCAGGTTTTACTGTATTTTGAGAGGTCGTGCTGTGTTATAAATGTTAATAAACAGGAAGGCATATCTTGCATGGCAGCCATTATAAAACATCATAAAATACTATTATTTGTACCTTATTTCAATAAGAAATTATTCTGATAATTATTTTAAAACAATATAAAAAGTTCCATTTGATTAGAAACTGTTCTTAGGATTCAGGAAAAGTGTGTGTGCAAGTAAGAAAGAAAGTTTCCTTCTCTCTGCAGATCCCAGCATAGTGCAATGCTGTCTATGTCAGAACATTCCAAAAAATTGTGCAGTTTCAAATAAAGATTGTAAACAAACTGATGACAACTAAATTCAGATGAGGACTATAAGCTAGGGCAGGGACGATTATTCGATGTAAATCGACGTGTTGTGTAAAACTATGTAAATGTGTTGTAACTGCAATGCAAGTGATAAGCTAAACGTATTGTAAGGGAAAGTACTTTATCCCAGGGTTCCCGCTGCCGCACGTCACTGTCGTCATTGACGAAAACGGAACCCATGGTGACGAAGAAAAACGGCATCAAATCGTCACTCTGGTGAATTCAATTTTCAAATGACGAATTTTGAATTTTTGAAAAGTCGAATTTCATTTTTACCCAATTTTCAACCGTAGCACCCGTAGGGCCTAATCAAAACTGGCCCGGAGCCCCGGACACACGATCGTCGATCATCCATGTCAAATGAGCATGGGCCGTTCTAAAAGTAGCAAATGTTATCAATCGGTGTGGGGACATTCTAAAACGCTTAATGTGAAAACGCTTAATGTGGTTTAATGTACCAAAATAGCGACCAATAATCACCAAATTTCGCACACACACATCTGGTCATAAAGACTTTCACCTGACAAAAAATCAAAACTGAAATACAAGGAATATGGACTTTATTTTACATTAAGCGTTTTCCCTTCCATTGACGCCCATTATAAGGAAAAGGTTTAATGATTAATTTATTAAAAAGCGGAGAGAGAGTGATTAAAAAAAACGGATGCTGAAAAAAAGTGAAGAATTTGATTAGTAGAAGCAAAAATACAAAGAAAAGTGAAGAATTGAATTCAAACTCCAGGGGGAACCCTGCTTTATCCCCTCATGAGCAGATTACCGCTGTCCATTTACGAATTGCACAATAAAACAGTCTGCTAATAGTTGAACTTTACTGTCTACCTCGTGATCTCTTCGCCAATCGAGACCTACAATATTTTATTTATTGGACCTGTGGCATGGTTTTCATTTACAATACAAAGTTATTCCGCTAATAAGCTGGCTATTTGTTTCACTGCTGGCACTGTTAAAACTATATCAATTATAGACTGAGTTCCAATACAGTTCTGTCTAATATCGCCGGTGCCAGCAGTGCCACACTATTTTATAAGGCCAATATAGTTTTGTGTAATATCGCTGGTGCCAGCAGTGCAACACTATTTTGTAAGGTATGCACTGGCCAATCATGTAGCTCTTCTCTCAAATATTAATGAGACATCTCCTTTCACCCTGCAAAAAGGAAATGAGCCATAGATGAAAATCCACGATATAGAAAGACCATATACATAAACTTTTTTATAATTTAAGCCTTAAAATATATAGTGATCCCCTGCCTATCGCGGAAGTTACGTTGCAGACCCATCAGCGATAATGAAAACAACTGGAAACAGCTGATAACCCCATGTGGATTCCCCGTGTTTAACGAGGGGGCGAGGTACACGGGAGGAGCAAACGAGCGAGGCAGGACATACTGCAATTTTAATCAGATTTTTTAGATTTTCTAAGCAATTTTTATTCAAATAAGTTTTTTTTCATCTCTATTTTGCTTTTTTGTCTTGGTTTAACTTTTTAAAATCTTGTTTTTATAAAGCACATTAAATAACCCCTGTGTATGATAAAAACTTGCCTTGCCTTACCATAAAGAGACCGAGAAACGTTCTACAAACAACTAAAAACTATATGCTGGAAACAGACATTCACAAGGTAACTCCATGAAAAGCTCTATAAAAGTAGAAATGTGTTTATTTTATGATAAGATAACATGAGCCAACTGGCTAGTAGTTGCCTTTTAACTGAAAATTCACTCCAGTCAGAGAAAAAAGTTACTAACGCACTACATCAAAACATTTACGTTGCAATCATGTATGGCATGAAATAAACTTGTAACTATATCATTCAGTAATACAAATAATAAAACAACATACCGTTCACATTGGCCTCAACTACTAAGTTAGCGCTTGAAGACCCTTCTCAAACTGTTTGTTTGCCTAGCTGCAGTGATCACGCAATGGGATTATTTTGGGAGTTTTATTACCACGCAGACACCGGTGCAGACCAGAAAACACAACCAACGGATTAGTTTTACAGCATTTTACTATTTTATTTTCTGTGGACAATGCTTTTTGGGAATGAACTGAGGTAAGAATTTTAAGACTAATTAAATTTAAGACCTAGGATGAAAATCTGGGCATTTTTAAGACAATTTAAGGCCTTAAATGTAACTTTCTGAATTTTAGACTTTTTAAGACCCTGTTTTCTGTACCTCTACTGTAGCTGACGTTAATGACGCTTTATCAGCCATTTTATATTTTCTGTTTACTTATTCTGTAATGTAAGACTGAGACAAATTAACGTTTACTACTACTCTTACACACTGTAGCCTAAATCGTACCTTGCTCACTGAAATAAGCTTAATTATAAGCTACCTTTGCTAGTGTTTGTTAAAAACATGTTTTAGCATCTATTTGCTAAAATTAAAGTCGATTTGGTGTACTGAAATAAGTAAAAACTATTGCAGTGATTATTAACTTCAGTCTAACATAGAAATCCTATTGAATCTCTTAAGATCTGCCTTTTTTGTTAATATTGCTCTAATGTTTAAGAAATGTTTCAATAAATTGAAATGTTAATGAGAATGAGTTAAGGAGAGGGTGAATTGTTCTATGAAATGACTAACTTGAAAATAATTGCTCATCAATAAATTTATCATCAGATCAACCAAAATATTCGACTAATCTAACAATTAATTATCAAAAAAATAATCGCTAGATTAATTGTTTAAAAAATAAACGTTTGGTACAGCACTACTATAAAGCGCTCTTGTTTTCTTTCTCTCTCTCTCTCTCTCTCACACACACACACACACACACACACACACACACACACAATGGAGCTAACCAAGTTACAGTTCATAGATGCTAAATAACATTTGGGTTAGTACTAGAGGTCAACCGATATATCAAGCCGATATTTGGCATTTTTTAATGTATTGGCATTAGCCGATATCCGAGTGTAGTTCGCCGATTTACAGACAGGCACGTCTGTGGGCAGCCCAGTGTTATTCTTGCTGTGGAACACGCGGCCCATGCTGCCTTGTGCAGGACCCCAACCAGAAGTTTTGGAAGAGTCCTGGAAAGACGGTAAGACTTAAATTCTGATCTTTCAAAGACCTATTTATTTAACTGGTTTGCTATGAAATGCTGCTTTAAAAGAAAACATGAACGCTTTTGAAAGAGATGGCGAATTACGCTGTCAGGAACTGGCATAATGATGAGCCTTCAACCAACTGTAGCTTACAGGTAATGTTAAGGATCATTTATTCTGACAGTTTGGAATTCTGATGCTGCTATTTTTATTGTTTATAAGTTTAAGTTATTGTTCACAAGTTGTATTGTGTTTTTGTTATTTAAGTTTATATTTAAATTTACACAGTATTCAAAAAATGCTAAGTTGAGAAATTTTGTGTATCGCTTGTTATTATTAGTGTGATATTTTACCATGCAAATAGAGGTGAAAACATCCAATTATTGGCCAAAAAAAATCAGCAGCATACATCGGCCATTGGCTGACCCTGACTCCTAAATATCGGTATCGGCCATTAAAAAACCCATATCGGTCGACCTCTAGTTAGTACTGTTCTGTCTTATGTTGACCAAGCGAAGCAGAAAAGAATTGGTTTATATACTCAAAATTGTAACTAAGCTTTTGAGAAGACACACTTGCAAACTTGACCTAACTGGTGCTCTCATCCAGATAAACCATTTTAAGAAATTACTCTGAAGTCAATACTTCTGATCCCCACTGCAACATTTCTACTCTTTCAACACCTAGTCAACTTACCAAGCATATAAGTATCAATCAACTACACAACACACTCTCCACCTCACAACACCACAGATAAACAAGACCGGCATTTGGGTAAAGCGACAGCCAGGTTTTTGAGAGACAGAAATACTGTGCCTAATAGCCAGTTTAAATGATTAAAGCAAAATTCACTAAATGATACAAACTGAAAATAAACCCAGTTGCATCAAAGAAAAAAACAGTCTTACTGAGCTTATGATGACACAAGGGACAGATGCAAAACAGAAGTAAAACAAACAGAAACCAAACCCCTAGACATATTCAACAAAGAAGCCATTCTGCTGATATTGTGGAGTACCATGCTGTTGAGTAACTAAAGAAAAAAATATACTGTCCAAAAATGAAATGTGGTCCCACTCTTGTAAGTTACTTTACCATGGAAATTTGGCAGTAATAGCAGACAACCAGGATCTAACAAAAAGCAGCATTAAAAAAAGTTAAGAGATAGACACTTCTGCATCAAAAAACAGTGACATTATCAACATACATTATGCCACACAAAAAAAAACACAAGAACATGAGTACGAAAGACATGTACAACTTGAATCACTAAAATGCAGCTTACCGGCATTATTCAGAATGATTAAGTTCTTCTTCAGCATCTCATACACTGGACTGCAATCATAAAAATGACATTCTATCAATAACCAGAATCATATGTAATTCTGTAGAGGTAAGGCAAGTGAACATATTCCCATGGACAGTGACTCACTTTGGGTTTTTGACAGAGAAACTTTCAACTTCCAGTAGCTCTCCAAGAGGATCATCCTGACAGTGCACAATGTGCTGCCTCTGCTTGTCATAAAGCTGCTTCACCATGATATATTGACCCAGATAGTGCATCACCTGCCCCACACCACAAAAAGAAGCATTTAACTTACATTCTCAGCTAGGTTATTTACGAAGATTAGCAAACTTTTACTTAGCAAGGACAATTAAATCAAAAGCAAAATTCTACACTCTTAAAGCAACTGTAAATGTTTGAAATTACTGGTCAAACTAAATAAAAGCCTGCTTTACCATTTGCACTCACCTCTTTTAGTGTAAATGTTTCGCCTTGGGCCCCAGCCAAACATAGAAGCTGAAGGAGCGCTGCCTTGGGCTGGACCTACAGGATAACAGGAAAAAAATCAACATAAAACAGAATCAAATCAGCAGTGTAAACTGCAAGCTGATTTGATTTTGATTTTGCAAGGCAGCAATTTGATATCTGGCGATATTTGAAATGCTACTGCGATACTATTCAATTCAATACTACATGACCGATATTTTCAATATAATGAAACATAAGCTAAGTTTAGTGGAATTTATTTTAAATAAGTCTGTCAAGTTGTTCATGTTGCCCCCAGTTATGCTGACACAAAGCATTGCACGTTACTTTTTATTTGCCTAATATCATCCTTATGGAGTCAAACATGTTTCCATATGTGACTGTCTTTTTGACCAGGTCTTGTTAACTTTTCTCCTCCTGTTAAATTTATCATAATTGCACCCAGGGCCGGCCCGTGGCATGGGCAATAAAGGCAAATGCTAAGGGCACCATCCATCCAGGGGGTGCCACAAACGGAGGAAGAAAAAAAGTGTAACATTCCACTATTCTTAAAACTAGTTGGTATTAATGTGTCTTAATATGAAAAGAACAAGCCCACATGAATTTACCTGCTTAGCAAAGCCTATTAAGTAGTAGTAGTAATAATAATAATAATAATAATAATAATAATAATAATAATGATACGTAACTTTCCTATGAGGAACATTCCTAAACGTCCTAAATTATCTGGTGCATGGGGGAGGAAAAAAAGAATAGAAGAGGAGGAAAAATGCAACAAAGACAGAGGTAACGTTTATACTAATATAATTTGCATATCAGAAAAAAAGCACATTGTATATTATACAGTACAGTCTACATCATGCACACATCTCAGATTTTTGTTTCATTTATATTATTTAATTTAATTTTATTCTTGAAATCATGTGTTTATTATTAGACTGGTGTTAAATTTTCTTTGTGTTATTTTGTGCAGTGCCTTATTTATATTGTATTTATAATTTAAATTGTCACTTTTTATTTTGAGAATATTTAAATCTAATACTTTATGCAAGCTATTTATATTGTATTTCATATATTCAGTTAATATTTTTTTGTATTTATTTCTAAAGTATTTTGAATATGCAATTGGTTTATTTAAATAAAAGAATGTCTAAGACAAAGCTATTCAGTTTTTTGTAAGTACAGTGGTACCTCAGTTCTCAAACTCATTAGAACTCGAATTTCTTAAAAGTCGAACCAACCAGTTCGAAAAAAATTACATAGAACTCGATCAGAATCTCAGAAGTCAAACCATGAACGCCGACCTAAGATAACTTGTACACACGCGGAAGAGTCTCACACGGCACATCTCTCAGCAGAAACGATTAGAGCATCAGTCTCAGCCTGGTATTCGCTGTGATAGCATCATGCATGTTTACACTAACTGAATACATATATTTAGACAGTAAAAATACATTTAGACAATGATAGACAGTAACAGTAATTATTATACAATAAAAAACATTTAAAATTAAAGATCTTATTAATTATTTTAATATTAATAATAAACCATTAATACATTTAATTATAATAATATTGTTGTGCCGAGGGGGTACGGAACGGAGACAAAGGCGCAGACGTCAGGATATCGGGGAATACGGGGTTTAATTACGGGTAAGGCAGGCAAAACACAGACAGACAATATAATGACCGGGCTGGGGAAACAAACTGAAACGCGGACTAAATACAAAGGACTAATGACAACAACCAGAAACAGCTAATAACACGGGGATTCCACACGGGGTTAACGAGGGGCCGTGGCACATGGAAGGAGCAGATGATCGGGGCAGGACACATTGTTTTTTTTTTTTATTTTAAACTTTACACATTGTTTGGATAAATTTATTTTCTTACTTTACAAATTACTGTTTTGACAAATGTGCTTAGATGTGTTTAGTACAGTGTATGCTCTTCCTTTATCCGGTTCATTTTGTGTTTAAATGCTAAAAAAAAAACATTTAGATGTAATTTTTTGGGGCCGGGAACATTTCTTATGGGGAAAATTTGATCAGAACTCTAACTTTTTAGGATTCGTTTCGGAGTTCTGAACGGATTAAATTCGAGTTCTGAGGTACCACTGTATATGTACACTAGCAGTGGAATTTACTGCGATGCAAGGGGGCACCACCTAAAATCTTGCCTAGGGCTCCAAATTTGTTATGCCTGGCCTGATTGCACCACAGTTTATCAATTACTTTTATTGAGACTCAGGTCTATAGATACACACACAAAAAAGGACAGATAAAAATGTGAAGAAAATCAAATAACATACAGACATCTCAGCCAATGCACCCTCAGTTTGGATGCATAACAGGAACAACTCACGCTAGGATTTGATAGGGCTAAAATGATACTGTTAGTAGATTGATCCAAACGCTGCATAAACGTGAACATCAAATTTATCAATAGTGCCTTAAAGGTCCTGACTCCTGCAGTTACAAACATCTGACTGGCACTCCCTCTTCTGGGACTCGTAAGGAGGATTCTCATTGTGTCATTATATGCAACTTGTAACTTCTGCATGCTAGATTTTTTGTAAGATGATCACAATTGGGCAGTATAGAGTAGTTTGCTCATTTTTAGAAATACAGTGGTACTAAATAAAAATATGTGTCCTGCCCCGATCGTCTGCTCCTTCCATGTGCCACGGCCCCTTGTTAACCCCGTGTGGAATCCCCGTGTTATTAGCTGTTTCTGGTTGTTGTCTTTAGTCCTCTGTATTTCGTCCGCGTTTCAGTTTGTTTCCCCTGTCCGGTCATTGTATTGTCCGTCTGTGTTTTGCCTGCCTTACCTGTAATTAAACCCCGTATTCCCTGATACCCTGACGTCTTCGTTCCGTCCCCGCTCGCCACAACAATATTATTATAATTAAACTTATTAATGGTTTATTATTCATATTAATATTAACCTGGCGGTGGGGCTTGATAGCGAGCGCCTGGTGGCCAAGCCTATACCCATGGGGCCTGGTCGGGCACAGCCCGAACAAGGCACGTGGGTCCCCCTTTCAATGGGCTCACCACCCATAGGAGGGGCCATAGATGTCGGGTGCGTTGTGAGCTGGGCAGTGGCCAAAGGCGGGGACCTTGGCAGTCCGATCCTCGGCTGCAGAAGCTAGCTCTTTGGACATGGAATGTCAGCTCTCTGATGGGGAAGGAGCCTGAGCTGGTGCGCGAGGTTGTGAAATTCCGGCTAGACATAGTCGGACTCACCTCGACGCACGGCTTGGGCTCTAGAACCAGTCTCCTTGAAGGGGGTTGGACCCTCTTCCACTCTGGAGTTGCCTGCGAGGAGAGGCACCGAGCGGGGGTGGGCATACTTATTACCCCCTGACTGGGCGCCTGTACATTAGGGTTTACCGCATTGGACAAGAGGGTAGCCTCCCTTTGCCTTCGGGTGGGGGGACGGGTTCTGACTGTTTGCGCTTATGCGCCGAGCCGCAGTTCAGAGTACCCACCCTTTTTAGAGTCTCTGGAAGGGGTGTTGGAGAGCACTCCTTCTGGGGACTCTCTTGTTTTGCTGGGGGACTTCAATGCTCACATGGGCAATGACAGTGAGATCTGGAGTGGCGTGATTGGGAGGAACGGCCCCCCCGATCTGAACCCGAGTGGTGTTCTGTTGTTGGACTTCTGTGCTCGCCACGGATTGTCCATAATGAACACCATGTTCAGGAATAAGGGTGTTCATATGTGCACTTGGCACCAGGAGACCCTAGGCTGCAGTTCGATGATCGACTTTGTAGTGTCATCGGACTTGCGGCCGCATGTCTTGGACACTAGGGTGAAGAGAGGGGCGGAGCTGTCAACTGATCACTACCTGGTGGTGGGTTGGCTCCGCTGGTGGGGGAGGAAACCGGCCAGGCCTGGCAGGCCCAAGCGTATAGTGAGGATCTGCTGGGAACATCTGGCGGAATCCCCTGTCAGGAGGAGTTTCAACTCCTACCTCCGGCAGAACTTTTCCCAGGCCATGTTCCGCACCTCCATTGTGGAGGCGGCTGACCGGAGCTGTGGCCGTAAGGTGGTCAGTGCCTGTTGCGGCGGCAATCTGCGAACCCGCTGGTGGACACCAGTGGTGAGGGATGCCATCAAGCTGAAGAAGGAGTCCTATTGGGCCTATTTAGCCTGTGGGACTCCAGAGGCAGCTGACGGGTACCGGCAGGCCAAGCGGGATGCAGCTTCGGCGGTCGCTGAGGCAAAAACTCAGGTTTGGGAGGAGTTTGGCGAGGCCATGGAAAACGACTTCCGGGCGGCTTCGAGGCGATTCTGGTCCACCATCCGGCGGCTCCGGGTGGGAAAGCGGTGCAACATCAACACT